TTTTTTTCTCCAGCGTGTTCCGAACCGTTGTTTTTGCTAGCCTACGTACCGAAACGTTTCCATACGAATAGGATACAGAAGAGTTTCCTGCATTTTGGCCTCGCAAAAATTGGGGCGAGAACAAAAGATAAGAGCTTATACGGTAGGGAGAGGTGTAGGAAGACGTTCCGAAATGGGGGAACGTTTGCTATGCACTTTGGTGTTTTGCCCCACAAACCCGCGTGGCCTTTAGATGAGCAGTTTTCTTGAGGAGATATTCCTCACAAAGTGACGGTTACTGTTTTTCCAGGATGAACAGTTCTCTCCCGTTGTCCAAGAAGTCCGAAATTATACAAGGTTATCTTAACACTGCAGTTTCTACACTTGCCAAAAATTGCTGATTTTGTAAGCCAGATAGTGAATACTGGTTTGTAGGTACCGCAGCTGTATCGCGAAGGGACGGATGTGTTATGTATTTTTATCTTGCGACTACCGTGTACTTTCGTTTTGTCTAATTCATTTTGTTCTTGCTGTTGTTTTTGTAATCGACCAAGAAGCTTATCAGCCCAGTTGAACTGAGATTCTAATCGCGTAAAATTCGAAGGTATACCGTGCTGTATATCTCAAAACTAGCTACCTTGCGAGTAGGCCGTTATGCGCAGGGGCGCTGAAGGCGCCAGAGCCAAGTCGGCAGGGAGGTGTTGGAGATGGGTGTAGCACTAGGAGAGATCTTCGACTCGGGAAAAATTCTTGACAAACCTCACTTTAATACCACCTTTCACGACCTGCACACCATTGTTGTCACTGCTCGGTTCAGGAATAGCTTACCCTCACCCCTGACAAGAACAGACCCGGAGATCATCCACTCTTGTCCTATCTATTTTCTGTCACCTGTGGGGAAAGGAAAAAACCACCACCTCCTTGACCTCCTCGGGAGAAATGGAATACCCGAGATCAGTGTTCCCAAACTAAGTCCTTATGACCTGTGGAGTGGACAGAGCAAAGTATTATTTGGATTAGGGGAAAAGACAAAATCTGAAGACAATACGGCAAACCACAAAGTTTTGTCCACCCTTTCCTTAAATGCATAAAGTTTTTGCCTTTGGGTTTTGGACTTCATAATCAAGAAGTTGCGGATTACTGGGTGGAGTCCTTATCTCAACGGCGATTTGTCAGCGGATTATCATTTTGCGGTAGTTCTGTCATGTAGCAATCTTCCATGTGTTTATAAATTAAATTTCACGTGTTTTGCGGCGTTAAAAATGAGCAAGAAAAGGCAAGATACTTGGCAGCTGTGTGAATTATGCGGGAGACTGTTTTATTGCCGTCACCTTAGTGATCACAGGGCGATATGTGAAGGCAATTCAACGGCAGAATGTCTACAGCACGCGTACATCCAAGATGGCGTCCTGCACGCTGTTGTTTTTGAGAGGAATAGCAAAATGCTCTCAGGTAAGGCAAGAAATATCGACCTCAACGGCGATTTATTTTCAGCCGAATCATTTTCACTCGTAGATGATAGCACATTCTTTGAGATAAAATCGACGAGAAGTTGTAGAAACATACAGAGCTCCCGTCGGGGTGGTTGGCATGGTGTGTGGCGCGTTTCTGGATAATCTTACCCTATTTCAGACCAAATCAAGTGATTTTCTCTTACCCTTTTTTTTTACACGTGAATCAAAAATTAATACCCATCTCCGACCAAACTGCACAAACCGCGCCATATTGCAGACGAAA